ATTAAATTTTATTTCTAAGCCTTTTAACTTTCCTATGTTTATTTTCAATTCTCTTCCTTTATTATTATTCTTTTAAAAACTTCCTAACAGGTCTTTATGGCCCAATCAGATAGCCAAACCCAAATGTGCCAGCCCAGCCCAAACCAGGAACACCTCAGTCAGAACGGAGTTGCCAACGCCGGTCGCCGTGACCCCATGGCAGCACACATCAACACCTTCATTGGCGCCTGCCATGCTTCAACCAAGAACCACTAGGGAACCTCAGATCCACGAATAAAAGAACGCAAACACGCTATCAAAAGCACCCCAAATTGAAAACTCCACAACCACTAATCGCAAAAACAGAACAAGATCAAAACCCCTATTTTAATCATTGAAATTCCAATTACACCAGAAATCCTTAATTTCTCAATTTTAGTAAACCCTAATCCCAAAATTAGAGAATAAAAAAAACCCTAAACCCAAAACTAGATGTCGTCGCTACCTTCGCCAAACAGGGTGCCACTGCCTCGTCATCTTCATGCATTCCGAATCGCGAGCTCTTCACACATAAATTGAAACCCCCAAGATCAGATTCAAAATCAAGAATAGAAAACCCTAAAACCAAAAAAAAAAACAAAACGAAGAATAACGCCTCCCCTTCTCACAAGATAAACTATAAGAGGAGAAGAGGAAGGGAGCCTCCATCCTTGCACCACAAACCAAATCGGAGAGAATGAGAGTTCCCCAAAATTGTCGAACTACAAACAGGGAGAAGAGGAAGAAGAAAAAGGTCTCCTTGTGCGACGAACGAGCCCTACCCAGATCGCACCTTCATAGTGTCGTTGCCTCCTTCGAACAAATCGTGAGCTCTTGACTTAGAGCCTAGAGCCACACCACGAGTTACAAGCCCAAATTCTCGCCACCATAAAGCCACAAAACAACAAAAAACTCTCTCCCCTAATCTAAGTTTTTATTTTGAGAAGAGTAATTCTCATATTTAGGGTTCGTCAGATTACTCAGACCTAAGGATTTAGGAAATCTGATTTACTAAATTTTTTTAGGGTTTCATCCTAATGTATTAATTAGGGGGAACGTCAGTGGGGCAGAGGGTTTTTGGCCTTGGTTTTCGGAGCAACCAAGGCCAAAACCCCTGCACAAAGATTTTGTCAGGCTGCAGAAAGGATTGTCAGTTGGAGCAGGGGGGTTTTGGCCTCGGTTCTAATAACAACCGATGCAAAAACTAATGCACAAATATTTTTCAGGTGAAAAGTCTTTTGTTGGTAGGTTTCGCAGACTTTATGGCCTCGATTACCTTCATAACCGAGGCAGTATCTACCCTATGGCTTTAGTTAACAAAGAACCGAGGCATATACATTAGTGAAAATTTCAAAAATGCCACCATGCCATATTATGCTTTGGTTTCTGATCAACCAAAGAATAATAGGCACGTTAGTGTCCTGCAGGTTGGAGGACACTAAGAACTAACATATTGACCATGACTCATTCTACTACGAATTCCTATTTTTTGCCTTCAAAGGTTCAACCAAACGATCTCGCTTGTTTGGTCATCCGACCTTATAGCTTAAGCTAGCTTGATATTAACTATTTAATGTCGTAAATGTGTTAGCTTGATTGGCTACTCTTTTTCTGACAGTTCAAATTTGAATTGTTATATTTTTTTCTATGCAGATGACAAGACCTTTCATACAAGCCACTTGGCCAACATAGAGCGTACTGCTCGGTGAGGAACCTTCTCCGTGAACTATCACTCGCATTTATTCAGCCAAGGGAACATTCTAAGTGAACTCCTAGAGCATATCGCTTGGTGAGGAACGTTCTCCGTGAACTCTCACTCGTGTTTATTTAGCACAGGGAATGTTCTAAGTTACCTCCTAAAGTTTACCGCTCAGTGATGAACGTTCTCTATGAACTCTTACTCGCGTTTATTTAGATTAGGAAATGTTCTAAGTGAACTCCTAGAGCTTACTGCTCGATGAGGAACATTCTCCGTGAACTCTCACTCATGTTTATTCAGCCTAGAGAACGTTCTAAGTGTTACCAATGAGGAGCATTGGTGTCTTGAAGATATTATGGTTTTGATGAGGCTACAAGATGAAGAACTTAAAGACTTTTGTTGTACTTATTTTAAAAGCATTTTTGCAGAATAAATTGTATAGGAATTACTTTGTTGATGTAAAAATACTTAAAAGTTTTCCTGTTTAGAGTCTTTGTGCAGATAATCAATTATTTGGTATAATAATCGATTACCAGGAGCCTATTTGGAAAAGAGTTGCTCGCGCAAATAATCGATTATTGTTTATAATAATCGATTATCACCGTTTGATTTATTATTGTCCAGGTCGCGCAAATAATCGATTATCCCTAAGAATAATCGATTATCACTTTTAGAAAACCCCATAACGGACATAAATAATCGATTACCACATATGATAATAGATTATTTGTGTCAGTTGGGAGATGACTTTTCAGTTTCTAACCCTGGGCTTCTAAATAGGGGTCTTCACAGCTCTTAGGAAAAAAACTTTTCATTTGAGAGTATTAGAGCTTTGTGCCTAAGGGAAACTCTCTGTGAGTGAAAATACATCTATGTCATTTGAGAATACAGTTTATTTGAGGAAGTTCTCAAGTGATAGTGTGCTCTTGTCAAGTCTTGTGAATATGAGAAGCTTGCGCTTAGTGTGTCTAAGGTCAGAGCGATTCTCTTCAAGTTGGTTGAGCGGTTTCTTCCGGTTCGTTTGTCGAAGGAAGGTTTTTGCTGTTCTTAATTTATATTCATCTTATTGTAATTGTTAAACTGATTTTTGTGAAATAGTTAATAACTCGTTATAGTGATTAACGACTAGACGTAGAATCTTTTGATTCGAACCAGGACAAAAATCATTTGTGTGATTTTTCTCTTCCCTACACTCTCTACACTTTTAGCACACCAACTATTTGATAAAAGTTCTTTAAGAAAATCATTTTTTTAAAACGGACCATTGTAACTTGTTTACTGACCGCTACACGCTTTCTGCTTTTAAAGATCGCTTACAATCCGCTGCGCGACTCACTGATACCTACACTAAGTCAACTCCTAGAGCTTACCGCTCGGTGAGGAATGTTCTTTCTGAACTCTCACTCACATTTATACAACCTAGGGAACATTCTCAGTGAACTCCTATAGCTCATTGATCAAGTAAAATAGAGAGCTTGTTTGGGCTTGGAGGCTGGTGTACTGTATAGGAAATAATTGATAATTAATCTGAGCAATAATAACTATTAATGGACAGTTAATGAGAATAATAGACATTGATTAAAAATTACTAGGAATAATGGTAAGCTCATTATAATATTTATAAATATATGTCTGACGGGGGAGGTCAGGTAATTAATTCTGATTAATCATTTTTGTTACAAGATTATTACATAAAGTCACTAATTTGAGCATCATAGTGCCTTTGAGAGGTGTATCCACCTTCCCGGCTTGGACAAGGAGGAGAGAGGGCAAACAACGTAACTTGGAAGATGGAGGACTATCAGGAAGCTCATCCAATCTTCAGGATAGCTTTAAGTGCTTTGAGTAACCTCAATCCCTTACCCAAACATAGCCATTTATGAAGGCTTAGGAGGAACGAACACGAATTTTGAATTCAAAGAAAAAGAATAGGTTGGAAGGGTGAACGATACCAAGATGGGTAAAAAAATATGAAAAGCTTAAATGGATTCCTAAGGGTGAACTTGAGTGAGGGAAAGCTCTTGGACTTGTTCTTTGAAACCTTTTTTACAAGTTTTCAGAATTTCTCTCTAATGATTTCAAATCTCTCTAACAGAGTTATATATTTTGTTCTTGTAATTTGCAAAACACTTTTGTTGTCTTTGTTTAGAAGTGAAGTACAACACTTGTAAGGTTAACTTAGTAGAGTTAGATCATCTAGTCAGTTAAGTTAATACTAGGAGTGATTATATTTGTTCTAACCTTAGTTGTATAGCAGGAATAGTTAAACTCGTTGTAATACTTTATGATTAATAGAACTCCTTAAAGGTAATTAAGAAAGATCTGAATGTAGCTCAGTTTGAAACAAACCAATATAAAAACAAGTTTTTTTTTATTGTAGATTGCCTAACCCTTGTAAAAGAAATTAAACAATGATTTGCGAAAAGTTTTAAAACTCTATTCAAACCCTCTTTCTAGAGTTTTCTTGTGTTACATACTCTATTTACAAAAAATAACTAAAATAAAAAAAAAATAACTAATATAAAAGTCAAATTGAATATAAAACATTAATCTTAATACATGTCACTGATTTTGACATGTGGTACCATGCTATTTTGACACGTAAACATTTTTTAAAATTAAAATAATTTAAAAAAAATAAAAAGTGTAAAACAAAAAAGAACTAATAATTTATGTGACAAACATTATTCATTAGTTATCTGTGTTTAGATGCCCTTAAAAAAAACTAAATTGAATAAAATGAATGAAAATTAAAATCAAATTAAAAAATATATTATTAAAATTAAATTAAATAAAATCAACATAAAAGACCAATTAATATTTATTTCTTATTCAAAACGGATGTTATTGTAATAAATATCTTAGATAACGACATTAAATAACGTGTGTGACTCAAGATCAATATATCTCTATCTAAAGCAGGTCCCTTCTACTTTTACCGAAAGTAGATGCCATTTAATAAAAAAAACCCAAGTAGCATTCATACCAAAGTAGTTTCGAGTTTCAACAGTTACAAGGACCCACATAATTGTTTTTCCAAATTTCTCTACGTTTTCCCAACCCAATATTTGGCCAAATTCGATGAACACCCAAAACAGAAGCCAACAACCCAATAATGGAAAGAGAGAAACAAGTGATGGAATCAATCTCCAATAAAAGTCAAGACTTTTAAGAGGCATGGTAGTTCAAATTCTTTTTAGCACCATTTACAGAAATTATTTGGTCCTACAACAAGAAAAGAAAATAGAAGATTGTAAGACGAACAATAATATAGGCACGAGAAGCATCCTCATTTCTAACAACAGTGAGTGAAACTAAATATTGCTGAAGGGTGAAATACAGAAGCACAAGCTTTCCCTGTTGCAGAAGCTAAATGAGTAAAGGCTTACCTTCAGTTCTTCCACCTTAGAGTTTTGTATCTATTCCCTCCACTGTGTTCATACATAAATTCAAGTGGGGGAATGATCTTGTGGAGCATCTCATCTACATGTTCGGAATACCATAACTTCCATCTCCTCGAGAAAATAAGAGGGAGGATGAAAATTCCAAAGCCAAAAATACATCCCAACTCGGCACTTAAAATATTCCAATCAATTGAACTCTCACTGTGGGAATGAGCATTTGGTGTTTCAGGTGATGTCCCTTCATCATTGCTGCAACTATGGATCAGAGGAACTCCACATAACTCTTCATTCCCTTCAAAGGAATCTGCATCGAAGGATTGAATTTGTGTACCCTTTGGAATTTCTCCCTCTAGTTGATTAAATGAGAGATTCAAATATGCAAGGAAAGATAGACTTGCAAGCTCTGTAGGAATTAGCCCATCAAAAGAATTTTCTGACAAATCTAAAGACTCAAGATTCTTCAAATTTCCAATAGATGATGGGATGTGACCGGAGAGGGCATTATTTGACAAATTTAGAGCATTCAAGGCCTTGAACTGCATTAGCTCCTTTGGTATTGGACCCTCAAAATTGTTGCTCGACATATCCAAGTACGTGAATATCTTTTGGATTCTGACCAACTCCATTTGCTTACCTTTGTTGGTAATGGTAATGGAATTCTGAAGTCGAGAAATATCCACTGCATTATAAGATTCGGTGGATGACTGGTCAAGGATAGAGCGAGAGGCGTTTGTAAAAAGTTTAGCTATTCTTGCTAATAGAGATTTGTCCACACTTGACAATAAATCCTGAAAATTCTTGGGGTCGTAGTGATCATAGAGATCAATAAATAAGTGGCCAAATTCGGACACACCATTATCATCTCGCATCATTGCTTTCCAACTGTTTAGCAGTGCTCCTGGTATTTCACCACTGAAATTATTGGAGGCTAGATCAACAATATGGAGCATTTTCCAATCAGCACTGCTTCTTGGGCATCCAATTGAGCCATGAAGTTTGTTTAACCCTAAATCCATAATTCTCAAGGTGGAAATATTACTTAAGAAGCATGGAAATCTGTCAGTTAATGAGTTTTTTTGAAGGTTTAGGACTTGCAGATTTTGGCAATTAGTTAAAGATTTTGGGATGATACCCTCCAAAAGGTTGTCATTTAGATCCAACAACTTTAGATTACATGAAGTTGGCACTGAATTAGGAATATAGCCACGGAGTTTGTTTGCACCAAAATTCAACACCCTTAGACTACTCATCGTAGCAAAACACTCGGGAATCGTCCCAACAAAGTTATTGTGGGAAAGATCTAGCAGGTGAAGACTTGAAGCATTGCAAAAGGATTCAGGGATTTGTCCCTGAAAGCTGTTGTTTGAAAAAGACAACAAATTTATGAAAGGAAGACGATTTCCAATGTCCAGTGGAATAACAGAGTTGAATCTATTGTTCGAGTAGTCCAAGCAATTTACTAACGTTGGAATGAAAGGAATAGACCCTTGTAGTTGATTGAAACTAAGATCCAAGAGCAAAAGGTTTGAACTAAGGTTCCAGAAGCTTCCTTCAAAACTTGTCAGAAAATTTTTGGAAAGATTAAAGTGAGCAAGATATTCATTTTCCCAGATCCAGTGTGGTATTGAGCCCTCGATCTCGTTGTCAGCTAGATCAAGACGTAGTAGTGTGGATTGATTTCTTAAGAAACTGGGGATTCCTCGCAACTTGCAAGATGACAACATCAGAATTCTGAGATTAGGATAGTTTGAGAGGTCATGAACATCCCTATAGTTTATATCAACTGACAAATTGTTACCTGAGAGACCTAATGAAGTTAAGTTACTAAGCTTTCGAATCATGTCCAATAGTATTGTGCCATTGAGCTTATTTCCATTCAGTTGGATGAGGCGAAGTGTTGTAGTGTTAAAAATAGACACAGGAATTGTACCATGAAAGTTGTTGTTACCTAAATCAAACATCTCTAACAAAGGGGAGGCCACAACAAACTCATCCAAGGAACCATTGAATTGATTAAAAGGTACTTTAAGTTCTCTCAGACACGGGAGTTTAAGAAGAGATGAGGGGAGTTTCCCACTGAAAAAGTTAAATCCTAAATCAATGCTGATAAGATTTTTATGAACCTCAAAATGATTGGGTGATAACACACCAGTCAAATGATTATGATAGAGGGATAAATATGTGAGATTCTTGGACATATTAAAAGAAGGGAGTGAACCTGTGAAGTTATTGTAAGACATGTCTAGATAAACAAGTTGGGTGAGTTCAGAGATTGAACTTGGAAGTGTTCCATTAAATTGGCAGTTAGATAAATCAATTCTAGACAACTGCTTCAGATTAGAAATCTCACATGGAAGCAATCCTGAGAAATTTGTATTGCTAAGATTCATGTCATAAAGAGAACCACGTGATCGGAAGTTTGGTAAAGAACCCCTAAGACCTTCATTGTCTGATATGTCAAGGATTGCCAAAGTTGGAATTTGGAAGATATCTTTTGGAAATGAGCCATTCAAAACACAATTTCTGAGCTGCAATCTGACTAACTTAGACAATTTTGCAAAGGATTCCGGCACTGTGCTTGACATATTATTGTGGCTAAAGTTTAGAACAGTGAGTGACTGAAGCTTAGAAAGTGATGAATCAATAGGTCCAGAGAGATTGCATGATGACATGCTCAAAACACGTAGCTTGTGCAATGAAGATAAAGCATGGGACCATTCATGACCTTTGACAGATATTGATACACCATCAAGATACAATTCTGTGATATTTGTAAGGTTTGGTAGTAAAAGCATTTCTAGATTTGGCTTCTCAAGTTTTAGCCTGTGGCTTGAGGTAAATGAGGAAGAAAAATCAAGAGTAACTAACCTTCTGAGTTGAGAAATCTCATGTGGAATCTGCCCCTCAAATCCAGCATTAGACAAGTTCAAATACCTCAAATCACTTAACTTGTACAGTTCTGAAGGAATCACTGAACTTAAGTTATTAAAAGCCAAATTCAAGCTTTGTAGATATTGAAGGTTGAAAAGAATGCTTGAATTAACAAATCCTCCTGAGATAGACTCTTCACTGAGATCAAGGGCTATAACACGACCCTCGTTGCATGTCACTCCATGCCACTCACAACAATCTTCACTTTGGTTCCAAAGAGTAAGCTTTTTGGATACTGCAGGGTTAAATATAAGGCTAGTTTTTAAGTGGAGCAACACAGAACACTGATGGCCAAGAAAATAACCATTTGCTGGAAAAATGTTGACACCACAGTTTATTAAGTAAAATGGTATCAAGAAAAGCAACAAGAGAGTGTGTCTCCTCATTATAAGCTTTGAGAAGGTGTTTTGTGTTACTAAAAATTATGGTACCATGGTAAAGACATATTATCATTTCAAAACATATCATTATCCTTTTATAGACTATCATTATTGGTCATGTTAGTCTACCAGTCTAACATAAGTTGGAAAGCACAAGAACCATTACTATCAAAGTATTGTCAGTAGGTTTCCATTTTCATGTAGTTCACATTAATAGTTATATTAATATGTTAAAAAAATTATTTTAAATTAATCTCTATTCAACAAAGTTTCATTTTCTTTCCTTCAAATATCTACGTTGATTATAACATAAAAAAATTTAATAAAAGGTTGCAATAAATTTTAAATTGAAGTTTTCAAATTTTATTAATAATTAATTTTTTAAAGGATATTGGTATGTGAATTTGTTTTAGTGGCTAGTTATCTAGGGGTAGGTGAATTGAAGGTAGGAAGTGTTGAATTCTTCAAACATACTGTTGATATGAGATAATTGGGTGCCATTTTGAATTATTCCTTCCTTAAAGTCATCATGCTGGTCGAAATGGGAAGTCTTTTTCGCACATTCCAGAAGAAGAAATTTAAAACAGATATTTTTCATATCGAAGTTGTGTATATATTTTAGAATTTTATTAAAGTTTTAAAATGGTGGAATAAAATATTACTAAATATTTGTTTGACAGAATATAATTAAGATTAAAAATTTAAATAAGTTTAAATAGAAGCATCGGCAGTCAGAGCTGAAATAAAATATTTTTTACCTTCCATTTATATTTATTGCAATAAACAGACAATATTTATTTTGTATCTTACAATGTGAAGAGATGGCAAATATACGTGATAGAGAATTGAGAAGCTTGTACAGTTTACTTTGCTTAAATGTAAGATATATTTTGTGCAAAGTTACTTCTATCACTTATAATAGGTGTTTGGTTTTGTTTAGAAATTTGAGGTCATCGTCTAT